ATTCGGGTGCTGTTCTTTCTTGGATCCAAAGAGATGACCATTGGGCGCCATTTGTCGCAAATAGAGTAAAAGAGATATGAAAATTGTCATTGGAATCTGAATGGCGTCACATTCCAGGGAATTCGAATCCTGCAGATATACCATCACGAGGGTGTTTGATTAAGAGTTTTGTGAAATCTCGATGGTGGCAAGGGCCCGAATGGCTTATGAAGAACAATGAAGAGTGGCCAACTTGTGAAGTGATTACTAATGAAGAAGAAATCATGAGAGAAAAGCGAAATTTATTTCGACTTTGGCTAATATCACTGCTGAAAAATGGTATATGAATTACTTTTCAAGTTACTTTAAAATTGTGAGAATGATTTCTTGGATTTTAAGATTCATAAATAATTGTAGACAAGGAGGAAGAAATTCTGACAAAACCCTGAGTGTTGAAGCATTAGACATTGCGGAGAGGAAATTATTGAAGATCATTCAACAAGAAGCATTCTGTAATGAAGACATTTTACTTTCAGAGATGGAGAAGAAATCGTAAAGTTGAAGACGAAGATTTTAAGAAGACATGACGATGAAAACTTTCAGTGCCCCAATTGTACTTCCATACAAACATGAATTAGTAGAAAGAATGATAGAAGACTACCATTTACAACTTTTACATTGTGGTACTCAAGTTCTTTTGACCAACATTCGTCAAAAATTTTGGACAATAAAAGGAAGAAAAACAATTCCTTACTAAATGTAGTATTTCATCTCGATGTACTCCGTCTTTGATATGATTTAAATCAAATTCCTCATCATTATAAATATCATGAATACAAATCAAATAGTTTTCTGGTTGCAATTTTCTAATTTCGACTATGTGCAATATTTTACGCATGCGCGCGTTGAAAGAAATGTTTAATAAAGTAAAACAATAAATATTAAGTTTTTTTTTGTAAATTTGATACCTTTAGATCATAATTGCTCTTTATTTCATAAATTACGGTTTCATATTTTTAATTTTATAATTTCTGCATACCATCTTACCATATTTAAACTGATGATCTATAATCCGGAATCGCCGAACTCCCGAGGAGTCCGGATTAAAGACTTTTGACTGCAATTCCTTACTAAATGTAGTATTTCATCTTGATGTACTCCGTCTTTGATATGATTTAAATCAAATTCCTTGTTATTATAAATATAACGAATACACATCAAATAGTTTTCTGGCTGCAATTTTCTAATTTCGACTATGCGTAATGTATGCTTTACGCATGTGCGCGTTGAAAGAAATGTGTAATAAAGTAAACAAATAAATATTAAGCTTCTTTTTTTTGTAAATTTTGATACCCTTTAGATCATAATTACTCTTTATTTCATAAATTACGGTTTCATATTTTTAATTTTATAATTTCTGCATGTCATCTTACCAGATTTAAACTGATGATCTATAATCCCGAATCGCCAACGTGTCCGGATTAAAAACTTTTGACTGTATTCAGCCTAAAAAAGACAGTTCTGTAAAAAATGGAATCTCATACCAAATATATGACGAAAAATCAAATTCCTAATTTTAACGATCAATCTAATGTGCAATCCTCCAACTTGGCTACTGCTGCACAAAACCAACCAGGTAAGAGTAATGTTCAATTTAATGTTGCAGATATTAGTAATGCTCTGAAAAATTTAAATGTTTCTAATGTTAAAATTACTAAGCAAATCTCTTCTGAAAATAATGCTTCCAATTCTCCACAGGAGAAAAAACAAAGTTCAGAATTTAACAATATTTTTGGAATTTAAAACATAAAAGTAATGAATAATGAATTTAAAACTTTCATGCCTAAACTGAGAGAATTAACAGATCCTGTTGATAAAATGTTCTTAATTTTCGAAATAGTTAATGAAATTCATAATGTATCAGTGTAATCAAACTATGCCTTTAACTATCATTACATGGAACGCAAATGGATTGCTCCCGAAAGCTTATGGAGCTCAAGGAGTTTTTACACGAATTTGTCCCTGATATTTTACTCCTACAAGAACACATGCTTGGCCATAACTTTTTTAGAGCTTGCAATTATGTCACGCACAGATGGGACAGATCAACTGTGGGCAGATATGTGCCCAGAGGTAATGCAAGAGGTGGACTTATTTTAATTAAGCGCTTCATTTCTCATTATGTAACTCCATTACCACAGCTTTTAGCAATTGAAGCTCTAGCTATTACACTCACTCCAAACACATCACGACCAATCATCATTATCTCCACCTAATTTCCTATACACACACCTGCAAACTCTGTAAAGACAGATTTTCAAACACTATTAAATATTAACAATCGAGTCATTATAGGTGGAGATTTCAACGCACACCACCGCAAGTGGAATTGCTGGGATATTAATCCACACAGACGCATTATCAGTCACTTTGCCCAAGTGCCAATATTAACTTAGCATTTCCAGAAAAACCAACACACTGTGGGATTGGTAGACCATCTGTCATTGACCTTTTTCGTTTTAAAAAATATTAACTTGCTGAGTTATATAGAAAGCATGGCTGAAATGTCATCTGATCACAATCCTGTTATAATGGAAATCAATACCAATACTTACAATAAAACAATAAACCACTCAAAAGAGCCCTTATTACGAACTGGGCAGGTTATGCCAAAGCTCTAAACAACATTCAGTACCCAACAAACACAGTACAAACGAGAGATAAGTTAGACGCCCTTACAGAAGAATTCACTGAACAGCTGCATGACGCATTACTCAAAAACAGAAAAATTGCAAGAGAGAATAAGAGATATAAAAACAGTGACATAAAAGAACTAATCAGAAAACGAAACCACGCACGCAAACAGTGGCAAAAATTCAGATATCCTGCTGATAAAACCTTACTGAACCAGCTAAATCAACAAGTCAGGACTCTATTAAAAAAACATGCACAACTTGACTGGACCAGACATTTAGAATAGCTTTCAGCGGATAATTCGATCTGGAAAAAAAAAATTTCTAAATTTAAGAGACACAACACCAATATTCCGTCCATTAATGGCCTCAATGGGATCACATACACTGATTTTGAGAAAGCTGAGTCTATTGCAGAAAACTATGCTTCTCAATTTCACACACACAACATCTCTCACCCACAAACAGAACACTTAAGTTTCTTCCCTCAACACACAATTCCAATCAAGAACACACACAAACAACACACCCTTAATTATGCCATCAGAAGTTAGTAGTTATGTCGAGAAGAGAAAAAAATCATAAAAGCCCAGGATTGGATAAAATAAGCAATAAAATTATAAAGGAAATGGGACCCAAGATGCTCTGCAAGTTCACGAAAATCATCAATATTATGATCAAAATACAGCATTTACCGACCAATTGGAAGACGGCTATTATCACCCCGATTTTGAAGCCGAGTAAAGATCCAACCTGCGCTACATCCTACAGATCCAAAAGTCTCTTATTGACACTAAGCAAGATCACAGAGGTTGATATCCTGGCAAGAATTCACGATTTTCTGCAGGAAAATAACATCTTTATTCAAGAGCAGTATGGATTTAGAAGGAAACACTATACCACACAACAGCTATACAGAGTTACGGAATTGATCGCTGATGGATTTAAGAAAAAAAACTAATCACCGGAGCTCTTTTCCTCGATATATTGAAAGCTTTTCATTGTGTATGGTTACAGGGCCTCACTTACAAACTAATCACTCTGGGTTTCCTAGATTACATCATAAACATCATCAATTCCTATCTTAATGATGGACACTTTGTTGTTTGTTATAACAATACCCACTCTACACGTAAAGCAACCCTTGCTGGCTTACCACAGGGAAGCTTACTTTCACCCACTTTATTTCCAATTTATACGAACGACAACCCACACAACCCCCTCACTACACTAGCACTTTATGCAGACGATACTGCGATCCTCCACCAAAACATGTCTATGGCCGCAGTTGTACAAACATTATAAGAACACAGCCATGCACTAGAGTCGTCCTGGATGATAAAATGGAAAATTAAGATGAACGTGGAGAAATCAGAAGCTGTTTACTTCGCCTACAAAAGTCAACCTGGGTATCACCCTCAAAATGTATGGTATCAGTATTCCCTGGGCCAAGCAAGTTAAATACCTAGGTGTCATTTCAGACCAAAAACTCACATGGGCCCCACATGTTACATATACTTTAAACAAGTTTCGGGGTGTTAAAGCTTTACTCAACCCCCTAATTGCCCGAAACTTGAATTTGTCTATTCAAAAAAAAAAGTTCTATTCCAATCCATTATACATCCCATCATCACTTATGCCTGTCCGGTCTGGGGTTTTCTATGTGACACAACTATGAAAAAAATTCAACAAATCTGTGCAAAATATGACTTTGAGACAGATGGCAAATTGCCCCTGGTTCATTAGGAATGATGCAATTCATCGTGAACTCAATGTAAATAAAATCAACTTTTGCTTTGCAAAAATTGCAAGAAAATTTTTTAGGAACATTCATACAGCTCTATCCCACAGCTGGATTATAACTATCAGGATAGAGACAACCGAAAGTGGTCCTTAAATACGTAAACTGTGATTGTTTTCTCTATTCCCCTTGTTCATATACCATAAAATCTCATATGATAACCTAATAATGATTTATTTCCACTTAATTATACTCTGTTTTAAATCATGACATAGGTGTCGCCATCTAGGGTTTAATATCATAACTACTGTTAGACTTTGAAATATATATGTTGCCATCTGGTAGAAAGTGCTGTCACACAAGTATTGCCAAAATTTTATGTATTAAATTTACTCAGTTATTTTGTATTTCATCCAGCTTAATCTTTATTTTAATTCAATAGAAGTAACTCTTATTATATTCCATGATCTTTTTACTTCAAAATAGACCCACGCCATTCTCTAAGATTGTTCAATATGTTATTTCTTTTTAACCCCTTCCCCCCCGACCAATGCCTGTTTTGCAAGTGGATGCACTTCTTTTTTCAGGTTTCACCATTGGACAAGAAGACCAGTAGCTCCGCCCTCCTGCACCCAAGTACCTCCACAGACAATGCCTTTCAACTCAGATGAGCTCTCGTCATTCTGACGCTAGCACATAATAACAGCTATGCTGTATTGCATGTTTAGGATAACGGTAGCATTTACATTTACACCACCGGACATCATTAGGAGAACTTTTTCAACACTTGCTGTATCCAAAGACTCTAATATCGCACTTTCACGAGATTTTTATCTCAATTACAAACTTTGTCACATTAGGGTAGAAAAGATGTGCCATTTTCGCACGAGTTCAACACAGGATGTGGTTTGTGGTTTGATAACCCGGGTACCTGCTGACAAGTGTTTCTAACACCTGAGTCTTCAGACGATTTTACATGATACTGGTGATGTAAATAAAACTTACACTTATCCAACGATAATTTTAAAGCATTATTAATTATCCAATCCAATGCATTGAAACTGAACACAAGGCACTTTGCTTCTGCTCGTCAGACAAAGCAGACTGTTGGCTGTTTCTCTTCTTAGCACAAAGAAATAAAAATATGTAAATGTTTTCAAATAAGCATTATTGGAGTGCCAAATTATTTGTATCTGCAAATGTCAATTGAAATAAAAATGAATATTTAACCTGCTTGCTACCAAGTTTGCTGTTTATTATGGATTAACAATCAATACATTCAGATGTTCAATTTTCAGGGCACCAGCAATTTTATTATAATACTAATTATTATTATTTTGTTTTATTTACTTATTTTTTCTGAAAAAAGGGAGAAAGAATAACATACCTAAAGTAACATCTCACCATGGTTTATACTTAAAACTTCAAATATGCACACTAGACATTTTTCCATAAATAAATATGTCTTGACTTCAATTCAAACTAAATAAAAACACTTCAATGTTGAGGAAACACAAACATTTATTAGCTTAAATCTATCCCATCCATAATTTGGTAGCTCTGTAGCTGCCTTTTTGCTTGGCACACATCTCAAATTGAAGCATTCTATCAAAGTTTTATAATTATTACTGAGAAACTTATATCCCTGATGTCAACTAGGCAATCAATTTCTTTTATTTTTTGCTTTCATCACTGCATGATTAACAACTCGTGGCTGCTTGAGAAATGATTCATGAAGCAATGTCTAAAACAATTGGATTTGAGTCAAATGTGCTGCGAAGCATTGAGTCTGCTGATGAAGGGAAACTTATATTTTGGAAAAAATAGATTTTGTAAATAATATTCATAAGCTAAATTATATTTAGTACTGTATGAATATTAGTGTTTATATTTAATGCTGTATGAACATTTATTAATATTAGTATCTATAATTATATTTAGTGCTGTATGAATTAAGAGTAACTGATTTGTTATTCAGATAAGTCTGAAATATATGTGGGATAGAATCACTTAAATAATTAATATAATTTAGGGATAACTTATACAGCAGGTAGCAGAATTAAGATAAAATTTAGTGGAACAACATGAATCAAAGTCGTTAATCTAATGATACACTGCCAATAGTGTATAGTGCGTGCTAGCTAAGCATTAATCTATTCTAAAATGAAATACTACTCAATATATGTATCTAAATGCAAAAACTAAACTATAACAAAAGTGAAAAAAATTTCAAAGAGGTTGTTTAGAATGAAAAAAATTTCTATTAACAATTCAACAGGAATAGGAATTTTTGACTTAGCAATTACAAGAACTTTGCAATTCAACAAAAAATTATATTAGGTATTAGGAGTACAAATAAGTTTCACCTGTTTTTCAAAAATTACATATTTGTTGTTAAAGAACTATATGTTATGCTTTATTGAAAGTGTTTGCTCATTGATAGCAACTACTTTACCCCCATCTTCCTGGCAGCACACAGATACATCAGAAGAAAGCTTCATCTTTCGAGGCTATTCATAAATCAATCTAGTTTTTGGTATCTTCATAGGATGTACTCAGACAGGCCATGTGTCAACAATCGAAACAAGCAATAAATAATCAAAAGGAGCAATGTCTGATGAATACAAGCAGGAAGGGGAAAATTTCTCATTTGAATGCTTCCAAGTAGGTTTTGGCCAGCGATGCAACACTTGGATGCATTATCATACATAAGAATAATTTTGTACTGTCTAGAGTAGTAATGGCTGCATTTTTATTTGAGTGTTCAGCTCAGTCTCATCAGTTGTGTTCGATAAAGAGCCTTAGTAATGATTTCATTTGGTTTGAGCAACTCATAGTACATGACGCTAAGTAGATCCCACCATATATACAACATGATTTTTTCCCCCATTAAAATATTTGGCTTAGTTGTAGATATTGAAGCATGGCCAGGTGGTCTTCATAATATCTTCTACTTTGGAGTATTGTAGTCAACCCATTTTTCATCACCAGTGACTATACGATAAAAAAATTCCATTCATTTATGCCTGGCAAGCAGCATTCCATGTGTGAAAAATTGTCATTTGATGCTTCTCAGTTTCAATTTATATGGAACCCAATTTTTTTGCTTTTGAATAATTCAGTGATTTTAAACAATGTGAAACTGATTGCTTGCTGAGTCACTCCTAATGTAAGTACAAGTTTTATTCATGTTTTGCATGAAACTTCATCCAATAATGCCTCCAATTTTGCATCTTCGTACATTTTCATCCCTCCGCTCTTTCACTTTGATGTCAAATTTACTATTTTTAAACTTTTGATACTACTCATTAACAACTTCTCTCTTTTAAGGCAGCCTCACCATATGCTTCTACAAGCAATCGAGACACCTTGGCTCCAGATTTCTTTAAATTAAAGAAGCTAATCAAAAGTTCCCCCAAACAGCACTCGTTCGGTTCAAAACTCGATATATTTGCATGAAAAAATTATATGATGCTGATAAAAATCGCTAATATTTCAAGATTATGTTGTTAGCAGATGTCCAACTTTACAATATGATGTTTTACATCAGAAAATTTTAATCATAACTTACTTGTGGTGCCATTGTTTTTCAATGGCAGACACCTATTCGTACTCCCAATAATTTAAAAAACTTAAAAGAAATGGTTAATAAAGCAAACAAATAAATATTGAGCTTTTTATGTAAATTTTGATTCCTATGTACGGATTTATATTTATTTTGAATAACAATTTAAGTTTTTACTTTCTTTCCTATAAGGATATTTTACTCCTTTCCTATAAGCCTTCATTCCCTTAATTGTAGATGCCAGAATATTTAAATTTGGTAGAGCACATGAAATAATGCAAATTCTACCTTTTGGAGAAAAGGTTTAAATACTGAGTTCTAGAAAGGAAAGTAAGAGAGTGTGGGCAAGTGCTGTACCTTTGTAGCATGAGCTTCTGGTTCTGCTTTTATTGCTGGTTAAAATGGTGTAACAGCTATTACTTTGCTGCCACTAGACTTCGACGTGGTTTTAGGTAACAGGAATATCTGAACCCTGGAGATAAATTCTACTATTTGTTAAATATCTTTGAATTTTTAGTTTAGTTTCTTGTTCATTGAGTTATCACCTGAATGAGGCATAATTTGTTAGCGTCAAGTCGATGCATTGTAAATTTGAAAGAGTTTTAATAAAGGGTTCTTTAACCCTTCTCCTGTCTGGTTCCTGCATATATTTCAGCTGTCATAACAAAAACTCAACAAGTAGATATTACACCTATAAGACCATAAATGCTTCACTGTTTCATAAACAACTATTTCATAGTTTTAATTTTATATTTTCCACATATCATGTTACTAGATTTAAACTGATGACCTAAAATCTAGAAAATTCTTAAATCCGGAATTGCTGAAGTCCTGATCTTGGACTTTATACTGTACACACACTCATATACATATGCATGTATGTATGTGTGTATGTGTATTGAATGATTTGGAGAATGATGCAGACAGGTGTTAAACTATGAATAGCAAATCCGAAATGGAGAAGAAACTTGGATATAGATGCAATAAGATGCAGTAGTAACAGAGTTAAATCATATTTCTTTTATCATACTTAAATATTTTGCAGCCACAATTAACTAGTCACATTAATCATGCTTGTTTCAGAACAGTTACATTTTAGATGTTGGCTTATTAAGAGAAAGTTTATATGGATTGATCTAGAAATGATGCAGTCCAGAAAAAGTTATGACTATTTTTAGAAAAGAGAAGGTAATATCCAAATTAAAAAGAGAATTATGGGCTATTGTTAATTTAAATTTTGATTTACATATTTTTTATCTTACATATCTCCTTCCCCCATGGGCCCATGAACTTGGGCTGCAGAATGTTACTATGTATCTGAGCATGTTTTGCAATAAAGCCTACCATGCAAAAGTAATTCTATAAAATCTGTTTTTTATTGAAATATTTAGATTTTTTAAAAAATGGTATTTAAATGTCATTGCTTACAAATAAAAAATGTTAATATATATAAAAAAGGTTAAACAGCACTATAATAAATTATATTATTACTATGTTTGCCTGCATGTATATAATATATATATACATAAATGTTAATATGGAAACAATAAAAATGTACTTACTATCAAACTTATTTTTCAAGTCAAATTCTTCTGCTAGACAAATAAAACATTCTGGCTCACTTTTAGATCTAACTAAAGTAGATTCTGAAGATATGGGCATAACAAGTTCAGTAATATTTTCACATGACAAAGAACGTTTTGGTATTGTTAATTTGCTGAATTTTTTCTTTAAATGATTTTTCATTAGTTTTGAGCTTTCAAGTTTAATTTCAAAACCTATCTTTTCAGCTGAAACATGTTCCAATTCTGAGCATACGGTATCCACAACATTTGATTCAGCCAATTCCATAGTTCTCTCCTCAGATGATAGGCTATTGCCTTTTACAACTGTGTCTTCCTATGAATGAAATTTAATTAATGTGACAAATAAATATTTACTTATTATGAAAGATAAATATGCTAAATTTAATTTGATAGAAAAATTGAATATAAAATATGATATAAAATTTGTCCCATTTTGCATTTAACATAACATACACAATTATAACTTGACACTAAATGCAAATTTTTAATTGACTGAGAAAAAGACGCACATCTATGAAAATTATTATTACAGCTTTCTTTGAAAAATTAATAGATACAATGGAACAAACTGAAAAAAATTCTGTATAAATGCACTTAGGAAAATGGTGGAAAACTCATGCGCTTAGGAAAATTGTTCAACAATCTTAAAGCTTAACATGGACCTCTTAGATAGATGATTAGATACTTAATAGATGGGGGAATGATAAGAACAAAGAATGAATGGCCATGGTAGTCTAAAATGCACAGGAAATCTACACTCCAAAACATACATAAGGTACATTGCTCAGCTTTGTGACAATTTGGATTGCTTATGTGGCATTTATTTGCATCAATAAATGAGAATGCCCATAAAACTCATCCAGTGATGGTGCACTCAGCTAAGCAAGTTCAGAAGACATTATATTAGCACCTTCAGGAAGCAGGCTTGTACAACTATAAAGGATCAGAAACATAGTTGATACATTATGTTATATGCAAACAGCTATTAATCAAAACAAAAACAACTCAATATAAACGCATATAAAAGTGATGCAAAAATGGTGGAAGAATATAATGTTGTGCAAAATCTTTTTTTTATACACAAAGCAGGCTGTAAGGCTGCTCAGACTTATTTCATACCTCCGAAGAATAGAAGGAAATACATGAGATTTCACTGAATTTCATATTTTTTTACTAGAATTATTAGAACAGTTTCATAAATTGCAATATCTGGTATAAATTAACAAGTCAATACACTTCAAAGATATTAACAAATATTCAATTGTTTCATAACTTAGTGTTTTTACATGAATCATATTACATTTACCTTTCATAAAATAAGCTGATATTTTATATAATTTGTAAGAATATTATATATAAAATATTCCTGTATGTCAATAGTTTTCTGAATTATGATGATATAAATACTGCATATAATTAATGTTTAAAAAAGTTGCAAGGGATGAACTTGAGCCATCATAATATCAGAAGATTCTGTTCTTATTGGCATATTTTTCTCTCCTTGTGTAGGTTTCTTTTAAAAAATAATAGTTGTTAGTTACTAGTAGTTTATCCCTGACAAATTTTAATTTTTTATGTTCTAACTATAATTACGTCTTTCCAAAATTAAATGATTTACATAATTTTCCCCTCTCGATTTCTCTATGATAAAAATTAGTAAAAAAAAAGGGGGAAACACTAGCGTAAATATGGTGTATGGATTCAAAAGTTGCACATGTCAAACTTTCAAAAATAGCCGCCCAGACGGTATAGTGGTTAGGGGAGTTGACTGCGATACCAAATGGCTCAGTGTTCGAATCCCAGAGAAGGCAAGGATATAAATCGTCTGTTCCCTCGCAGGAAGTAATAGTGGAAACCTGCTAGGTGCCTCCGTGATAAAATGACTCCACTTCTGGCCTTAGTAAACACTTTCAAAAACTGTGGAAATTTCAAAATGGATATTAATGGCAAACTGTTTCAATGGATTATATGCCTCCACTGCTATACGTGATACATCACTTGAAATTTCAGTTGGAATTAATGTGTCAGTTTTAAAAGTCATTTTTTCTGGTTGCAAGATGGAGATGACTTTTCCCCAAACAGAATGAATTTTTATGACTTGGCACTACTTTGAACTAACTTTTATCCAATTTATCCAAATATTATTGAAGCATTTAAAGTGACTTTTCCAAATGTTTGTTAACCTAACAAAGTAATGATTTTCCGCTTGGTAACCTGATTTCAGGAATTGTAAGAAACAAAGCGGACACCAATCTCTCCAAAATGGACAATATGAGGCATCACAAACAAATTTATGCAGTATGAAGTAATACTAAATAACAAAAATTCCTCCTGCTTGGAAAAGTTCTTTATCTTGCACCAAACAAACAATTTTTAAAGCTAACAACATAAATTGGAAATTCAATTTCAAGTCATGTATTACTGTTAACAGTTTATAGGTAGACTTACCATATGTCCCAGTTTTTAGTGTTGTCCGGGGTAATGTCTGGGGTTGCAAAAATGTCTAAGGTTTGTGAATTTTATTATTAGTGAGTTTTTTTCTTAAATTTTAGATCTATATATCTGGTCTCGCATTTTAAAATTATCTTACTGCTGCACACCACTCAGCCAATCTTCAAGCAAGCACCGACGTCGATTCTGACGGAGGCATGGCTACCGGTCTCCCCATGTTTTACTTAGTTTTTTGGCAATACAACAGCGGGCAATGTATTTATGTTGTTTTTGTGTGTGAAGTAACTCGCCTAGACGATTTTGATGATTATATCTCCATTAATTTTTTTATCTCATCATAACAATGGGCAAAAGAAAATGTGTGTTTAATGTTAACCACCAACAGGAATACAAATTTTTGAAATTATGTAATGACAGTAACAATGAACCTGTATATTGCACACTATGTACTGGAGAATTTTCTGCTGCACATAAAAGAAAAGGTGATGCTGAAGACCACGTGAGAAAAGCTAAACATAGGAGGAAACCTGTTAATGTTACTACTTCAGCAAACATACAAGACATTTTTTAAAGCCAAAGATAATAAATAGAAATAAAAGTGATCTAGAGTGTGCTGCATTTTCATATCACACTGCTAGACATGAACTCAGTTTCAAAACATCAGACAGTACATATTAATTTCTCCAGCCTTTTTAGCATGCCTTCGTGGTGTGCATGCTGGGTACAGGTTCTGAAAAAGTCTCAGATACTATTAAAGAAAAAAGGAAAACAATTTTTAAGGTGTTTCAAAAGACTGATATTTTATGTCGCAATATTTTAAAAATGATTGAGTTTGCAGTGTCTTTGCCTGGGACTTCTGCTTCAGTTGAAAGAATTTTTTTAATTATGGGGAACATTTGGCATGCAGAAAGGGGTAGACTTTCAGTATCTACTGTTAAACATCTGGTAAATGTGAAAATTAATTCAGAATGTTCTTGTTGTGAATTTTATGATGTAATAAAACAAACAAACCATTTCTGGAAAAATCATATCTAGTGAAAAATACTACTGAATAAATAAAGGTTAATGTTTCAGTAAACTGTTAAGACTTTTAAATAATTTCAAAAATATGTCCTGGGTTAGAGATTAAAAAATATAATAATGGTGTCAGGCATTCAAATAATTTGCATTAATATCCTTTTATAGATATATAGATTTTTCTATTTTTCTTGCTTAGATACTTCATATGGATATATGCACATTAAATTTCACTACTATCATGGAATTTCTACAGATTTTGAAAGTTTGATGTGCGTGTCTTTTGGATCATTGAAACATATCCTGTCTGCATATATTTCTCATGAATAGAAGGTTTAAAATTTCTTACCTCAGATGTTTTACTGGTCTGAGGTGTAAGCTTTGAATGCAATTTTTGTTCCTTTTTCCTAGCTGATATAAATTCTTGAATTCTAAATCATATAATATAGTAGTAAGAATATTATATGACATAATGTGTAATTTCAAATTCATAAATAGTTTAGAATTTATATATATATGTCTGCACATACATACCTGTTATTCCACACATGAGCAACTTCAGCTATGTGATATTTCAACAAAATAATCTGATCTTCTATTTTCCACATAAAATTACAGACATCTTGCAGAAGAAATGTAGATGTTAAATGCAAAGAATTTCAAATGTTACAAAGAAACTTACAAGAGAAGCACATGACCTTACAAATTTAGCCCAAACTCTGCAAGATTATAAACAACTCAAAGTAATTTTATATATGCAACCTTAAAGCTTGCATCACTGAAAAGAAACTAGAAAACTGAGGTTAAAGTTATAAGCAACATTCATATTACTTCAGTTTCTTTTCTCACTAACTTCCTTGATACTGATGCAAAGAATTGTTAACACTAAGAACCAAGGGTCTCCAGTTCAAATCCTGATGTTGGTAGTCTGGTTTTATTAGTATTAAAAAAAAAATAATACTTTTTTTTTTTTTTTTTTTTTAAATCTGAAAGAAAATAAGCATTCAAGATAAATATTTTTAAGGAACTAATATGAAAAACTACACTGATATGTTATGGATATCTGACTTAAGCTTAGATTTTCTTGCTAAGGTACATGCTAGTACTTCATTTGGATATGCACATTAAATTCCACTTCTAGCATGCAGAATTTTAGAAAACTGGTGAGTTCAAAGTCCTGCACTCTCCTAGCTATATAAAACTCAAATGATGCATCATATACTTAAAAAGCTGCAATATTTGAATTAATCTTTAATGTCGAAAATATAGGCATAATAAATACAATATAAGCTATTTTATTCTTGCAAAAGCATTAAAGATGTTAACTTTTTATATTATAACACACACAAAAAATTAAGATTAATATACAATGAATTACTATAAAATTATTTAAAGACTAAATATTTATTAAGGAATAATCCTATTTAAATAGCTTAATTATGGTTGAAATTCACTTTAGAATCAGTAACTTTAAAAGGGAGAGAGAAGATTAATATTTGCAAAAATAAATAATAGGTATAAATTTACATACAAAATAGAGCTAAATTTAAAGTTATTAAATATTTCCAAATCTAAATAATTTTTTTTCTTAAATAGATAATTATGTTACAGATTCATCAGGAAGATAATCACATTTAATTAGAAAAAAGAACTTACATCCAAAGGCAAACTCTTCAAAAATTAGAAACAGTTTATTATAAAAACATATTACTTGAAAATGATGCTAAAGCAAACAGATAATGAAATAAAAAATTTTTAAACTTTGAAGCCCATGAATGATACATGTTTTTCTTTTTTCATACAAGTTAAAAAATTCTTCAGTGGTATATTTTTAATTTATTAAAATGCAATGCAAAAAATAAGCAAAGGAGTTACAATTGATAAATATGAATTCATATAACATATTTTTAAAGACAGCATTAGCAGTTTAAGAAAACTTACATGTTTTCTTTCTATTATTTGATTCAAGGTTACATTTAAAAAATTAAATAAAATATTTTTTAAATCAATTTAAAATGCTAACAGTGTGTTGTGCTATTGTGTATATGTTCTAAGATGGAAAAATGATTCATGAAAGGAAAAATAATGTTCTAAAACCAAACATGAAACATTTTAAAATGTAGGAGGAAAAAGTATATCACATTGGGAAAATGTTTAGTAATTAAGAATTCTGGAATTTCAAGCATAGTTCTGTGGTGCTGACAGACAAAAAGAGACACGATGGGGAGAGAATAAATCCCAAAGAGCAGTTATCTGACATTTTTATAAAGGGCAAATCCCTTTACAAAAAATAAAATATCTTCCCTTTCCTTTCCAATTATGTGTCAAATCTCCTTACAGGTATGGTAAAGTTATGTTTTTGCCCATTCTATTTGTTTAGTCTTATTTTTAACCTTACTTTTTATCTTATAATTTAATTATGTAATCTTATTTTTATTACTTATTTATTTTTGGTATTAGACGTAATGTTTCCCAGCTGGCATAATAGTTAATGACACTGACTGCCATACTGATGGATCGGGTTCGATTCTTACAGAAGGCTTAGATGTTTGTAAGCATATTCTGTGTGACAAGGGGACATAACAAGCTGAATGTTCTCTTGAGAGGTTAGCGGTAGGGAAAAAGGGTTTAAAAACCCTTGGACCTATCCTTCTCCAAGGTAATTCTCCCTCAAAATTGGGGCAGAAGCTTAACAGGTATCACAACCAAGCGATATCTAATATATATATATATCGGAATTACAATATATGAATTTCTCCTGCTGCTGCTACTTTAGAACATTTTTTTATTAATGATATAAAATAAATTGAAAAATCAAACCAAATTTAAGTTGCTTTTGTGCTATCCTTGTTTAACAGTTGCTTTTATTCTACTCTCAACAGTTCTTAAATATAATTACTTGGAAATATTGAGCAGATGCATGCATTTTATTCATCAACCAACAAATATTTAAATTCACATCATGGAACTTTCATCCAGAATTAACTAATTAACATTTTTTATAGTTAATATTATTTTATAAATACATTTTTTGTTAAGTGCACAGATCATAAAAATTCACAACACTAAATTTCTAAAAAATATTTTTTCCTATTTTTGGAATATATAAAAATATGCTACACACAGGAAGTAATTATATACACTTATTATTTATAAAAAATATGCACTCTACACACGAAAAATCAAATTTTTTCCTTTAAATGCAGAAACTTCAGTTAAGTAATATACCTTATTTTTACCTTTATTTCTATCTATATCTTCAGCTAAATTGATTTTCAAAGTTTCTAAGGTTGGTGATGTTAATCTAAGCTGGATGTCTTCAATTTTACCTCGAAAAGATGGCATTTCAAGCTATTAAAAGATAAAATTACTCTATGAAAATTGCCTAAGGATAGATAAAGGGTAATTATTATAAATAAATATAAAAACTTAAAAAACATTCTATGTTTAATACCTGTAGCATGTTTATCATATCATCAACAAAATCTTCAGAGCTTGATCCTGTATATTCTTTGCGCAAAGCGAATAACATGGCTAGCAGATCACTATAGATTGCATGCCCTCTAAAGCAAATAACATTTATTAGTATGACTGCAGCATTTAAAAAGCACTTTTTTTACAAAATTAATTGCACACAAAATTAATACAACTGAAGTATAGCTGATTATAATTAAATACAATTTAAATATTCATTTATTTAAAACAATTTTCCTTACTTCATAGCAATAACTTTTATTTGTTCAATAAGTGATGTAACTGGAATAGCTTTGTCAAGCACACTAATAATGAAAGAAGGAAAAGCAAGTTCCCAGATAAAAACAGGAGTATATCTAGAAAGAGAAATTATTTAGAATATCTGAATGGATTCAGCAAAATATGGAATGGCAGTTTTTAAAATCTTCTAGCAGAAAATTTAAAATACTCACTTAAAAATTGCCACAAGCTGATTTTTTGCAAAATATTGATAGTGATCATGATGAAGAGAATGCGAACAAAGTTCTTTAGAGCCTCGTCTTTTATAACCATCAGCATAAAATCTTAATTCCAGATATTTTGCAAAAGAAAATGACCAAGTGTCTTGAGACATTGAAACTACAGGTGTTGCCTGAAATGCATAGCAAACTGGTCAAATAGTGGTGGTGGTGGTGGGGGGAAGCAAAATGAAAAAATTACAAAACAGACATAAAAATATAGTACAACATAAAAAGCTCTAAACAGCAAAAGTTTAAGCTTTATGAAAATAATGCAATTTTTTTAATTACTGCAACAAGCAATACAGATTAAAGTGCATTATAAATATAAAGGAATCTCAAGATCAAAAATATCTTTTTGCTTAGGTAAAGAAGTTAATTTTTAAATAATTGAATATGATCATCTACAAATTAATAATTAAGATCATTATAATAAAACTTATTAAGATCATTAGGTTACTAGAGAAAAAAAAATCCTATATCAATTTTAAAATTTACTTTTTTACACTTATGACACCAACTCCACATTAATATATTATTTTCTGCTGCTTGAAGACCTGTACCCAATTCATGAAGAAGTATATGAACACAACCTGATCCATGTACAAATTTACGAACATGTTCTGTCATTGGAGTAACACAAGAAGCGCTGGGACATACATAACTTGACCTAAAGAATCAAAAAGAAAACTTTAAAATTACAAACATATTTACATGCTAAACACGTGCACATTATTGCAAATATTTCAGTTAAGAATTTGGACCAACAGATGTTCTAAAAATCATTTTATTATTTTTATTTATTGACATTTCATTTCAAGATAACTACCTCTTGAACTTTCAGTATAAAAATGTTTCAGGTGAGAAGAAAATATTTTCAAATAAGAATTTTGATCAATAAGTATAAAAATTGTTTTATTATATTTACTTATTAACATTTCATTTTAAGATAACAAACTCTTGAATTTTAGTACTCTGAAGAAACTAAAACTCCAGGACAAATAACATAAATATTTATTATCTCTGATAAGGAATACATCTGCTACTAAAAAAAAATCAATATACTGTACTGAACTTTTAAATATACCTGATTATTACAAAAAATTTCCATCATTTATGAGGATGTAATTAAATAATTTATTAAATAATTTCTTATATTAAACTGACTTTAATTTTGATGTTAAAATTTCCCTTAATTATCCTATACAAAAATTTTATAGCATTTAAACAAAACATGGTGCTAATCTTGCAAACAGAAGCCCTTGACAGAGATGGTCATAGTTTCATCATCCATTCCTTCCCCCTCAAAATTTTTGCTTCACATTTCAGAAGTTAGAGAGCACACATAATTACCACAAATCTGGTATGGAATAAATTTTTTCTTTATTTCAGATTCACAAATTGATAATCTTCATATGCTACAGACTGGAATTTGAAAAATAGCATTACCAAAGTTCAATAACTTGAGGGATGCTCTATGGACATTATTTTGTTTTTTAAAAAGAGGCAAGCATTTCAAATTCCTATTGCCAGCAGAATTCAATTCACATTACCAATTTAAAGTGCTGATTATTTTTGTTTTAACTTTTCCCCAGTTATGATAAATTTCAGTTAAAAAAAATAAAATACAAATTTTGAATCAAGATGGAATCAAGTATATTTAATACATACGAGGTATTAAAATAATATTTAATAATTGGAAAGAAAAATAAAATGTTGATTTCAATTAAAAGAATACTCTTTGGGGCTTGAAAAAAATCTATAAATGATCTATTAAAAAAAAAAAGCATATGACACATACTACAAAATGTTAGATATTTAAGTCAATATTTCATTACTTTATTGTTTTTAAATAATTTTAATGCATTTTTTAACTCTATCCCTCAAGTGCTTCTCTAGTTTTAATTGAGTAACTCCATTTTTATCAATAAATTAAGGCTAATCCTGCTTTCTAATTCTTTTTATTGTGGTATAACACAGGGTGTCTTATTTCTTTATTTTTATAATTTGTTTAGTATTCATCAGCACATTTTTATGCTATAATTGTTTTTCACTGCAGTACCCTAAATACACTTTTTTAACGTCACAAATTTTCCTTTGATTCTGTTTCTTTGGTTTAGATTTCCATGAGGTTCCTAAAACTGAAGGTATTTCTTTCTTCATCCTACTATGGAGTTTTTAAGAGATTTACTTTCAGAACTTTCATGTCACGTACCTCTTCCACTCTGTCAAGCTATGCTTTCTCTCACTATCACTTATATGACATAGAGTAGAAAATTTAGACATTTAAGCCAGTGTTCAAAATGAAATAAAAATAAATTAAATGTTTTTGAACTTTGTATGCTTATAGAAAATGTTACATTTCGCAAAATGCAAACTTGTATACATCATTTTAAAGAGAATTTATTACTGAATTCAATACAAAACACAAAATTCCATTATTTGCAATACAAAAAAAGTTATATGTACTTTAATATATAAATAAAAAACACAGTTATGAAGTGGTTTGTAATGTCTAGCTTTCCTGGCCAATCTGTCTTGTTCTGAGACCAATCAAATGTTAGTAACTGCCAGTAGAAGCTGACATAAGTTTACACTTGAAACAATTCATTATTTTGCTTTGTTTCTGTAGAAGGAGGACCTGTTTTTTCTATACACTGCAATTACAAGTAGGAATTTTGTAAAAATTTTAATATTTAGTCAAGAAGCAATGACATCAAATGAAAGAGTAGATTGGACACCTAGAAAGAGATGTAATATTATTGTGTTACGAGAAAGTGGTCTTTCCTATGCGGAAATTGCAAGACAGGTGAGTGGTTCAGTGACTACATCTGGAGTCCGAAAGTTTTGTTTACGATATCAGGAGACAAATTCAATAAAAAAACAAAGAAGGAAAAGGCCAAAAAAGGTGCACCACATCTATTGATGATAGAAGAATTAAAAAGGCTATGTCTCCAAGATAGAAAAATGTCATCAGCGGCCATCAGAAGTGATCTGAATGATGCTGCATTCAAGCAACTGTGAAGAACCCAGTTAGTGTTATGATTTGGTCATGCATGTCAGCAGCCGGTATTGGTCGCCTTCATGTTATCGATGGAACACTGAATGCCAGAAAATACATTGACACTAATTCTAGAACCAAAACTTCTACCTTCCATCAGAGATCTCTTTCCCAACAATGCTTCGTTTATTTTTCAGCAGGATCCTGCTCCTTGCCACATGGCCAAAATATCGAAAGAGTGGTTTCGTACAAAGAGCATTAAATTGTTGTCATGGCCAGGATACAATTCTGACCACAATCCTATCGAAAATTTGTGGCAACGTTTGAAAACTCTTGTCCGAATGAGGGGCCCATCAAATAAAAGGGAACTAATTGAGGCTATAATTGTTTCCTGGCATTATGTAATAACGAAAGAAGAGCTTAAAACTCTTGTCAGCTCAATGAAACGTCGATGTGAAGCTGTAATAAAAAATAAAGGGTACCCTACTAAGTACTGATAACTCACTGCAATCTTCACTAATGTATATCGATAACTATTATCGTTTAACATTTTTTGTATTACAAATAATTGAATTTTGTGTTTTGTATTGAATTCAGTAATAAATTCTTTTTAAAATGATATATACACGTTTGCATTTTGTGAAACGTAACGTTTTCTATAAGCATACAAAGTTCAAAAACATAACAATTTAAAAACATGTCAACAATTTTGGCCACCACTGTATATACAATGAAGATATAACATGCAGAAATGATAATAAAGGGGAAAAACTACACACATAATTTTTAAAAATTTAATTATAAAACTCAATCATGAAGTCGAAAACTTGTGCTTAAAACAATGCTTTTAAATAGTAAAAGAAATACATATTTTACAAAACTTAAATATAATAGATGAATTTGAATTGTTCATAAAAGTGAAATTAGGTGCATATTGCAATATGGTTTATTATATCTTCACAGTTACTTTTAGATAATAACTACAAGAGAATTCCACTTACTTGAACTAACTGCCATTTTGGATAATAAGTTTTTGAAAAACCTATAGTCAAGGTTTATTTTTGTATGCGTTATTTTTGACATCATACATTAAAATTTTCCATTTTTAGACCTTTTGTTTTCATTTAAATGAAATACAAAGACATACCCTAGCAATTTAATAAATAAAGCAGCTAGTTTAGTTTTTTTAATTAAAATTTATCATTTGAAACAAGCTTCCCATAAATGTACATTAATACAGGTTTTAGAGTATAAGATGCACCCTTTTGCCTAAAAATTAGGTACATCTTAAATTATAGTTTTTTATTTTTAAAATTTTATTTTAACAATATTTTGAACATGGAATCCAAAAGTTTATTTTCATTTTTTTTTTCAAATGCTCTCAATTACTTGGGAGTTGGTATATTTTAGCATAAGAAAGATAAAACGGTATCATAAGGATTAGCATCTGACTGATTCAGAAAAACATGAACACTTACTAACAATAGGTATTATTGTTATTAATAAATAAAATTCTTACTTAATAAAAACATTAGATGCAAGTTAACACATTATTTCATTTAATAATTCTCTGTACTGTAACAGCAAGCTGTGTTTTACAAATGATGGAATCTTAAAATCAAAGAAATATGCTATATCTGTTATTTAAAAGCAAATGAATTTACAAGACAATATAATTTACAAATGCATAAAATGTATAATAGCTGTAAATTTCCAGTTTTAAAAATCCTCTACAAGAATTCTGTTGACATCAATCTACTAATGAATATCTCACTCGTTATACACACAACACATTGCAATCCCTTGTTGACATTTTAAAATTTATTTCTGAATAATGAGGAAATGAAAAATACCGTTTAGAAAATATGATGGTTTAGAGATAAGCTTACTAATTTCAGCATTTGCTTTCTGCATTTTTTAGGTCAAGCATGGTTTTAATCGCACAACTGAATAACTATATAACTTTTGATTAGCCAATTACTCAAAAAATATTTTACAATGAGATAAGAGTTAATCTGTTTACTCAAGTTTAAAAAAGCAGTGCCTATAATACAATCTTGGTTATCTGACATACCACAAAACTCTTAATTCATATTACAGGTTATCATCATCATTATTATTATTAATGCATGGCATGTTTCATTTAAGATAGTTTATTTGTATTGCATAACAACACACAGCACTCAGAAGAGAATCATATTTCATTGCCCCTTATGAATTTTTAGCATAGCATTCCATTTAACAATCTAGGTACAACAGTTATCAAGATAAATTTTACATAACAGTTCTTAGTTGTTTTGTGTTAATTCAACCATTTATATTTTAACACTGAAATGCATGGCTTTTTGAATCTTTTATGAGAACCTGTATTTAAACAGCATTTATTAGCTGAATTTGTAAAATTACTTATTTTAGTCTCTGTTTTCATTAAACTGCCATTTTTTAAAATAATATTTACATAATTAAAGGAAGCAGAATACTTTAAGTTATAAGTATAAGAGGGTTCACACACATTTCTGAACACAGAAATTAAGTACTTTTAAGGACCATTAATGAAAAAAATTAAGGACCTATGAGCAAACTGGAACTGAATAAATTAAATTAAAAATATTATCTATGCCTGAACTTCACTTTTGTAATGCCATCCTAAAAATAAAATATAGATCTGT